AAAGAATTCCCTTTTACATCTTATTAATTGTACTGGGCATAATAGAATCTCCATTTGTCATTAAATTCTTCAACCAGTCTTCTATTTACATAATTAGTTATAATTTTGCCATCACCACATGTTTTACCAGCTTATTAATGATCAGTTTTTCTAGCTAAATGACATGGCATCTCCAAATGAAATGCTTCCTGTCTCAGATTCTTATCTTTTGCCAGGGATGGGGCACTGTAGTCCCTTTAGTCCTGGTTTCTTCCCATTATTGTTAAACAGTTAGCACTGCATCCTGTCCAGTCCTGCACATACTCTGTTGCTAATGGAAAGCAGCTAGCTGACTTTGCAAGCTGAATGTCTGCCCAGAGTTTGCTTGCTTAAAAACAGTAAGTTAGATTCAGAAAAGAAATGAGTGAACATAAAGGTGTCTTTATCCAGTTCTTCCAGTTGAGCCCCTCATGGCTCATCCCATGCTGCTTGGGAGGTAGCCTGAGTCTCAGTAGCTTGGAGAGAAGACACAGGACACAGTATGGGGGGTGGGGGTGGAAGTCCCATTGTTCAAGCATCTTTGTGCTGGTGGTTTTTTTTGGGGGGGGGGGAGTGCAGCCTCATTATACTATATGCTTATGTTCATTAATACAAAATCCACTATCTCTTGGTGCCTTTTCATGATTGGGATGTGGATTGGTTGTGAGGATATAACTGAGTTTATGCAAAAATCTGAAGATGTAGAGTAAGGTTAGGTGATAACATTTGTCTAATTTTCTGTACCAGATTTTCTGTTCAGTAAATGTATTGTTGCTGCTGTCTTATTAACTTGCAGAGTCTGCATGCTTATCTTCTTTGTTCTTGTTAAAATATGAGCTGGCATGTGTTAGACTGCATTAGCGTTCACTCCTAGGAACTTCAGTGGCTTCTAAATTTGGTATTGCTAAGCCGGTGCTCTGTTTGCTTGAATCAATTGGGGCTGCTATTTTTAGAAACAAAGGAGAATTGAAATAGCAACTTTCTTTCCATGTAATAGATCCCAAGAGGAATACTGATGCAAGTTCTCTGTCATTGCATATGCTCCCCCTCCCCAAAAGAACACAGACGAAAGGCAGCTGTCACAGCTCGCAGCAATATTAATCTTTAATCAATTGAGCACTTTCTGCATTCGGGGGGGGGGGGGGGGGGGATGGGTCATGAGTAGAACCTGCCTGGAATAAATGCTCTGTGGGTAAGGACAGAGAATAGATGGTGTAGCTAAAAATAGCACTTGCTTCAAGACATTTCCTCCAGCCAGTTTTTGATGCTTGATTTTGATAAGGTTGATTGGGCTGTTACTAAAAATAAGTTTCTAGTAGACTAAAACACTCAATAAAATGTTTTAACTAATCCAAGCTAAAATACTTTCATGATATAATCTTAGAAGAAAGTGTTGGTCAGAAGCCAGTCTTTATATAATCTTTTCAGTGAGACATTCCTTGATGCCAAGCAGGGTTAGTCTCTGCTCTTGCCAGATTTTATTCTTTGAAGGGACTAGAATGACTTCTGTTTAGCTTTCACAGTTTTATGTAGTGGAAACTTCAAGGTTTTCCACATCTTATGTTCATAATGATTGAGTATTACCATTTTTATTACGTGCTTCTCAGTGGATGACTTGTTTCATTGGCTTCTACGAAAAGCTGCATTTATTGCACCTGTGGAGTAACACAATAGTGTATTTATTATTTGTCAAAGAGAATATTCATTTCTTCTTCTTGATACAGTGTTAGACTTTTCTGTGCTTAGATTCTAAAGAGAGGTTCCTCTTCATAAGCATTCTGTGTGTGGGGGGGGGTGAGGGGGGGAAGGTCACCTTATTTGTGAACACCACACTATGACTTGTATGTGGAGGGGTAAGTAATCACTTGCTGTCAGATAAGCATACATTTACTAAAATAAAGGGGAAGATGAGGATAAGTCTGATAGTTTATGTTTTTCATGGTCACAGTGCATCACACACAGGTTTTTCACCTGTGCAAAGCTTAGATTTGTATTTTGTAGAACTGTGATGGTTAGGTGGGAAACCATTTCTACCTTTTGCACATGCCTAGTGGGTAGGACTCCCACCTTTTGCCTCAGTTTCTCATCAACTGCTACAGCAATGGTATCATCGAAAATTTTTCCTACTAAATTGTCATTTGTAGATGATTGAGTTGAATGTTTCCTGCACTTTGATTCTTTTCTCTTCCTGGTTTCTTTCCCCTGCTGTCTTTTAAATGGTTTTCATTTCTTTTTGTTCAGCATATTTTGCTGTTTATAAGGCCCTGAAGGACCCATTCTGCAAATGTGTGGATTGTGGGAGCAAATTGCCTCCACCTGATGGCTACAATTTCCGACTGATCTCTTGCTGTGAGGACTCCTTTGAAAATCATGTGCTTGTTGCCACAGTTTTACTCGATAGGCAAAGTGGAGACACTTTTCCTGCCTTCCGGTAGTACTGTGGGAGCAAGCATTATGGTGAGTCAGTCAGTTCTGATTGGCCAGAACTGTTGCTTAAAGAGGCCTCAGATTCGGGCAACAGGCTTGGGTCCTAAGCACTTGATTCCCTGCTAAGGTTAGGCTGGTCTGTCATGAAGGATAAATCCAGGTGCTCTTTAGATGTGAGTTCAAAAAAAAAATAAAAAAAAAAAAAAAAACTTACGTAGAGGGATGGGGATATGTACCCAGCTACACTCAAACATCTTCTGTTCCACATGATGACACAGATGTATTGTAGTGAGAACCTATACCTCCATTACTTCTCCTTTCCATTCCAGTCTCAGATAAGATGCACATTATGGCTCAACATCAGAGGCAGAAATAAGGGACTTGCTCCTAATGATGGTATCTTGTTAAGATCTACCAAGCATGATTCTATGCTGTGGGTCATTCTGCACTATTGCTCCTTCCCAAACTCTCAGGAAGGTTAACTAGATTCATACTGTCAAGAGGATCTGACCAATTTTATTCTAACAAAAGAGGGTGGCAATTGTCCTGGCAATATTCTCATTCACATTCTTGGTCTTGGGACAGATGACCACTGCAGAAAGGAGAATCTCCACTGAGATCATACAGAGAACAGCTCTAATTCTTTGAACCGTACTCACTCAGGCTTGACAAAATTTAACAGATCCAGGAGATTTCATGAATCAAGATTGGCAGCGTTCTCTGATGCACAGCTTCTTACAACTACCATGTCTTGGCCACTGGCAATGAATCTGAACATGTCGGTATTGCAAGTGCTGCTGATGCTATCTATAGTGCTTCCAGTGGTGGCTGTGGTTTCTGTTCAGCTCCCATCATTAATGCATAGAACACCATGGGAACTTCTACAGGTCCTTCCTTTGTAGTCTCACTGATATCAGTTCCTTTTCCTCAAATTGCCATTACTGTAATTTAAGTACTTGTTCCTCATAGTGTGACTGTTCCTGTGCTTCTACAACCACCAACACATTTGGATCAGGAGTCAGATGACTTTATCAGCCAGATTTGTCTGAATCAAAGATGGCCCCATCTTCAGCTTAGTCTACAGATCAAAGAACAGACAACCATTTACCTCCATCCATAACAGAAGATATTTGTTCTTATGTTGAACAGTTTGTATGGTTATATCTTTAGGACTAGTGATTAAGTGTTTTCATACCTTCATGGATGATCCTATGATGGATTTCTTCCAGTCTGATTTTATTGCACTTTATTAGACTTGCCTTACTTTCCAGAACATCCTGAAAAAAGCTTTTTGTGTCCCCTTAAACATCCCGGAGCATAGAACATTGGAATAATGAACTCCGGTTATAGGAAGTCAGATTCCAGCTGAACAGGAAAAACTTCCTGACTACCAGAGCAATACAGCAATGGAACCAATTACCTAGGGAGGTTGTAGGCCTGGATTCATGGATTCATTCAAGATTTTTAATTTAATTTAAACAAACATTTGTATCCTGTCCTTCCGACGAACAGCTCAGGACAGCTTACAACTGTTTAAAATATTACAATACTGCAATAATAAAACAGCATATATTAAAACAATATAAAACAGGACATCACAAAACTAGGGGAAAGAGAGAAGGAGGAAAGGAATAGAAAATGTGACACTGGAAAAAAGGTCTTAAAACATCTAAAAACCTTAATTATTAAAATGATGGTTGAATAAAAAGTCTTTACCTGGCACCGGAAAGAGTATAAAGTTGGGGCCAGGCAGACTTCTCTGGGGAGCGCATTATTAGTCCTTTCCAACTCCACTGTTCTATGATCTAAGAGGGTTGGAAAAACTGGACTGTGACCAATCTGATGGTTGCACTTTTCTTTTTCAACACCCTGCACCAACATCCGTTATCATTTCATTGGGCCATAATAGGTCCTCAAAACACTCTTAGCTTGAACTGATCAAGAAGGTTCTAAAGCTGGATATTATGAATCATCAGATTGACTCTACAGCTTCATTAGTTTTTTGTATTGTGAATTATCAAGCCTGCATGGCTCAGCACCAGCCTTGTGGCTTTTTGGGTTTGTTCTGTTCTTCTCTGCTTTTCGTTTCCTTTTTTAAGCAAAAGAGTGCTTTCTTCTAAGAATACTTGCTAGAAAACAAGAGACAGAGATTGCAGAGCACTTTAAGAAAGAGGATATTAGTCTAGCAAAGCAGCAGGCTAATAATGTCAAACATATGGTAGAATGTGGAGCCAAGACCATAACGAGCGATAACACTTTATGCTGCTACACATGGCTGCATTCTGCAGGGCTTACCAAAGAAGGTGGATTACATAGTGAGGACCTGATGTTTGACAACTTGAGTTTATTCAGTTGGATGATCTGCTAAACCATGTACATAAGATCAAAACCTCAGTGAAAAAGATGAGTGTCGATGTAGTCAAGCAGCCTTACTGTCCATGTTCGAGGCTATGGAATAGGTTACAATGACAAGGAGGACATAGGATAGCATAAACTTTTGGAACTTGAAGACACACTTAACTTCTCTTTTCTTCCCACTCCTTTCCATTTTGTAGTTATTACGGGAGCTACTGATGGAATTGGAAAGGCATATGCAGAAGAGGTAAGTCTTCAGCTTGTTCATATTTCCCTCATTAATATTTATTTCTATCTAACTGCGGCTCTGGTATGAACATTAAATGACTTCACCTTTGCAAACAATGATGTCAAAAGAAATTTGTCGTTCATGTGTAGCTTAATTTGAATTGCCACAGTGTATGTTAAGTAGCCCACAAATCGACATGTGTATGTTCTTAACTAGCTTTAAGAAATCGAATGAAAGACATAGGATCCAACATACAAATATTTGCTGTGCTTAGAAAGGCCAACCTCTGAAAACTGTTAAAGGCACTTGTTCTAAACCCATATTCAAAATGGCTATATGTAGTGGTCTTAGTTTGTGTATGTATTATGTATATATTCTATAGATTGATTGGTCCGTGTGAGCATTGGAGATCATTCTTACCATGTATAAATTATCTGTAATCTGAACAGGTATTAGCATTACATGTAATCAGATTTATTTTCAGCAGATCAGTATACAATCAGCAGATTGTATAACTGAAGTTTCCTTTTTTAAAAAAAAAATCACTTTATACCTGTGTGTCAACATGTTACGCTATAAGACATTGTACACTCTCATATATATTGATGTATACCTTTGTGTACACACTTTTACTTTTTCACTATCTGAAAAAAAAAAGAAACAACAACTTACAAAACAAGCTACATCTCCTGAAATCTCCTTTTCTACACAACTATTAAATGTTCAGGAGTCCTTTCCTCTTTTACATCTGGCTGCCCTAAGCATGAACATTAGTTGAGAAATCTCAATTTTCTTTTTTTTATTCTGACTATCAGTTTGCCAATACCCTGATCCTTGTCTCCTGTTGTTTTGAGGGTAGGTATGTTTCAAACAATACTTTTTATTTCTTCTTTTCATCCATAGTGTGACAAGCAGAAGTAATTGATAACAATCTTGATGCAATTAAGTATACACTGTAAGAGTGAAAAAGCTTAGCTTATTGAGACATGTTAATAATGTACTCAACTAGCCATTCATTTTCATTCATGGAATTTTTTATATTCAGTGATAGAAATTGCTTACATCGACAAAAATCTACCAGATTACATAATAAAACCACAATAAATAGCATATAAAAGCTTTAAAGGAATTGGTTAGGTTTCCATGCCCGAACAATCTGTTCTGGATAGTCATCCTTACAGCATGTTTCTTGTTCTAGAGGTTGTTCATTCCATGACAATGCAGTCGGTGGGGGGGGGGGTGCCCACCAAAACCACTGAGCGCAGGCACTGTGCAGGTTCAGAGCTCGTATGTAAGAATGCACAGAGGACCACTCAAAGAATGTCAGTTACAGGTCATCAATCTTACTTTCCAGAGTAACTGAATAGTGCAGAAAATGTGGAGGGCATTCAGAAATGTCAGTTCAACATTTAAAATCAAGAAGATTACATTGCAAAGTAGAAAACATTGTCCCCTATGCATTCTTTTTTTTTTTTGGTTCACCTACTCCCCCTGCCCCTTTTATTGCTTTTCAGTTAACTCAGCAATTAAACAGTGGGATCTGTGTGCAAATTAGACTGTATGCAGTCTTTCCTAGTCAATTTACATGTGTGTTATCTCCTTCACTTTGAGAGCTGAAACATATAAGTAAATTGACAAAGTAATATATACATATATTGGACAGCCATTAGAAGGAACTTGCAAAAGACTGAAAAGATAATAGTTAATTCATTTTATCTTATATGCAATGAGGCTGTGGATTCAAACTCATATTCCAAGAGAGGAAGAATACTTTGGTTCTTGTCCAGTGGTTGCATTTTTGTATACATAAATAAATGCTTTACTGCCATAGAATTGTAACTGACTCTCTTGGATTTTCCCCCTCAGTTAGCAAGACGTGGAATGAAAGTGGTCCTTATCAGCAGATCTCAGGAAAAACTGCATCAAGTTGCCAATGAAATAAGTGAGTAGTGTCCTTATTTTTTATTATTTATATTCTCCTTTAAAGCAAAGTAGCTACAGTGACCAGCTTCAATAGTAATCTAAACATTAATCTTACATAATATAACTTCAATGCTTATAAGTAACTCACAATCTCAAGTTGCACTAGCTTTAGCGTTCTTCAAAATAATTAATGTAATATTGTTGGGGAAACAGTGCACATCAATTATGTCTTGCTGGTGTCTTTTTATGAAAATAGCAAATAGTCCCCCCCCCCTTTACTGTAACGAAGGTACCATGAGATGAATATTTATTTGCTCCAGAAATCGCCCCGAGGCTTTGTTGCGATGGGTGCGGCATAGAAATGTTTTAAATAAATAAATAAATAAATCTTGTCTAAGACTTTGGTTTTTGCATCTCTCACTTGAAGTTATACTCTCATAAAAGGAGCATATAAAGTATTAGATCTATCTTATTAAAGCTACATCATTTTGTAGGCAGACATTCTGATATACTGTCCCTTTTCATATTTTTCTTCTGCTTTGTCTGTTTTCTGCCCTTAACCTCCTATTGTTAACACAAATGACAAGTCACAAACAAGATTGAGCCTTTCTCACCTGAACTCAGCAAACAAATAAGATACACTTTAGATAAGAAGTTTGAAAGAAGAATGATTGGGTGGTAAAGACAATATTGTTAATATTTACTGCTTATGATACAAATGAGTGAGGAGAATAGGAAATACTTTGAGAAGTGAAGCCCGAAGATGACAAAGGTTTAGGAGGGGAATGAAGTTCTAACTTAGAATTAAACTTCCTATTTGGAGAACTTAAATGAAATCTTATACAGCAGAGCAGACAAGAAAATGAAATAGTTCTATTTCTCCCAAGTCATAGCTGGGAATTTTGGTAAAAATAATAGTTAAAGGTTGCTGAGCTTAAATATCTTTATTGAAGAATCACATATAACTATCTGTGTAAGAATCATATAAATGTTAGAACTCAGAGCCTACAGGATGAATACATCTGTTCTTGTTCTGTATGCTCTAGTACTTTTGGAATAGGTCAGAAATATGTAGGTAAGACATTTTACTCTTCTTTAAGGAAGGCATGCTTCTGAAACAATTCTTAGGGATTATTGAATTGTTGATCTGTTGTCAGCTACATAGAAAAATCAGAAAACTCTTAGGCAAGGGTTAATTTATGACAACCATGTCAGTTTGTTGAATGCTGTTTAGTTACACTGCAGCTAATGTAGGTTTCTGCTCTTAGATGCACACCTTAGCCTGGTGAGGGGGTTTAAGAATGTCAGAGAAGCCAAAAACAATGACAGCAGGAGAGCAGACACTTTCACTAGATTGGTATGGTCAAGGTTGTGATATTAGATTAAGATTCATCACCCTCTTTAGGCTTAATGGTCAGGGCAGCAGAAGAGAATGGATTTCTCTAAGGGGTGAAAGCAGGTGGAGAAACTCCTGTAAACTCCAGCTAGAAGGGAGCAGTTGTAGTTGAAGCTGACATTGGTGGAAGATATTTCAAAGACCACAGTAGTGATGCTCAAACTAACACTGGTTAATATCACACACAGAAGGCAGTGGTAAACCACTTCTGAATGCTTTTTACTTTGAAAACACTACAATGAAACCATCCAAAATGAAACAAGAGATTGTGCCAGAAGGTTAGACTCCCAGGTCAGAAGGCACTCAGCCAATTACTGGGGTAGAGCAGAGGACAAGTATGAATAGTACTGTTGCTAATGGCACAATTAGATCAAAACTGAACTGAAGTTTAGTGGCTGACGGGCACAAATGGAAAAGCTGATGGTGCACATCACATACAGTTGGAATGTGGAATGTGAGAATTATGAATCAAGGCAAACTGGAAACTATAAAGCAAGAAATGGAACAGTGAAATATCACACTATTTAATGTGAGTGAAGTAAGTGCACTGTAATGGGGTATTTTCAGTCAAAGTATTTTACTCTGGAAATTACAGACTCAGACCAGAGTGGCTCCAATGCTGAGAAAAGATGCAGCACAAGCAGTAAGGGGCTATAATGCAAAGGCTGACTGAATCGTATCAATCAGAATTTGTGGAAGACCTATCAGCATAACTCTCCTTCAAGTGTATACTCCAACAACAGATGCTGAAGAAGAAATCAAGAATTGTTAAAACTGCAGAACAATTTTATCTCAACTCTAATGTTCAAACTCTGGAGCATTCGAAGTTAGAGTCATTCAAATTACGATGTACCATTGTATATTTTTTTAAAAGCCTAGATGGCCAGTGGAAGAAACTTTCACAATTGCTAAGGATAGGCACAAAGCAAAAGATGGCAGAGATAGGGTCAGAATCCTAAAAGCAACTTTTCAGCAACTATCATGTAGAGACAAAAATAGGTATTACAATGGTCAATGCAAAGGAACAGAAAAGAACAAAGGAGGGAACATAACAGTTCCAGAAGGTCCAAGAAATCAAAGGGAAATTCAAAATCAGATTAGGAATGCTAAAAGACCAACATGGGGGTCATACTATCTGACCAGAGAGAAGATGAGAGCAGTATACATGGCAGAACTATACAGAAGAGAAAAAAGGATGACATGCTTCTTTAAAGAGGAATCCTATGAGGAACAGCCTGCAATATTGGAAAGCAAAGCAAAAACTACTGTGAAAGCACTTGGAAGGGAAGGAATCTAGAGTAGACAGAGTACCAATAGAACTCTGCAAAGCTGCAGAGATTGAATGCCAGCAAATATGCCAGCAAATATGGAAAACAGAATAATGACTCATAGACTGGAAATGTTCGATATGCATTCCAGTTTCCAAAGAAGTAGATCCTATAGAATGCAACAGCTGAAGGACTATTGCACTAACTTCCTATGCAAGCAAGGCTGTGCACAGGGTATGGCAACAAAAAATAGTAACATTTGTGAAACAAGAAATGCCTGACATTTAAGCTGTATGCTGAAAAAGAAGAGGCACACAAGTTATTGCAAATGTTTGTTGGCTACTGGGATGCACCAGAGAATTTCAGAAAGATCAGTTTATGGAGTACATCAAAGCCTTTGACTGTGTGGCTGATGAGGAGCTATGGATGGTCCTAAAAGAAATGGCTGTACCTCAGTATATGATTGTCCTGATTCATAACCTGTATTGTGGACAAGAAGCTACCATGAGAGCAGAATATGGAGAAACAGAATGGTTTCCTATAGGCAAAGGTGTCAGATAAGTGTGTATTTTATTTCCCCATACATTCATTCTGTATGTAGAACATATAAACTGGAATAGAATCAGAGGAAAGAGTGAAAATTGGCAGAACACCAATTTAAGATATGTGTATGATAACATATTATTGGCAGAAAGCAGCAATGACTTGAAATGGCTTCTGATGAAAGTGGAAGAAGAAAGTCCAGAAGCAGGACTGCCATTGAACATTAATAGAACAAAAATCATGACTATAGGATAGTTACAGACCTTTACTCTCAACAATGAAGAAATTGACATTATGAAAGAATCTGAATACCTTGCCTTAGTCAAAAGTTCAAAGGGAGCCTACAGTCAAGAAATGTGAAGAAGGCAGAGACTTGGAAAGGCATCAGTGAAAGAACTAGAAAAAGTCCATCAGGTTGAAGTTTTCCTGGTAACCCAGACCAGGATCATTCATACTGTTGTATTTCCAATAAGTATGTAGGGATGTAAAAGCTGGACAGTGAAGAAAGCTGACAAGAAAAAAATGGATGCATTTGAAAAACGGTCCTGGAGGAGAGCTTTGCAAAGACTCTGGGCCAGCAGAAAAATGAACAAGTGGGTCTCAGATCAAATCAAGTGAGATGCAAAAATAACAAAACTGAGGCTGTTGTACTTTGGGAGAAGAGAGTTATACTAAGGAAAGTCAGAGGCAGAAGAGAAGGACCAAAGATGAGATGGCTAGATTCCATAAAGGAAACCACAGCCTTATGTTTGCAAGAGCTGAGCATGGCTGTCAAGGGAGAATATTCATTCATAGGGTTGCTATAAGTTGGAGATGACTTGACATACTTTAACAATAACAGTGTAGGTGCAACATATTCCATACATATGTAAGGATTAGCAACTTTGAAAGCACTTTAAAAAACACGTAGTAAGGCTTTCAAAGACTGATGCAGTGCCTTGAGCTTTGCCTGATGTGGCTGTTTCTCTTTAAGGTTTATTTATTTGGAACTCTTATATGCCACCCCCTTCGCATAAGCTTTGGGGCAGCTTCCGACAAATAAATATCAGTACAAATACTTAAAAACTGGAAACATCCTGGCAAATAATATAAAACCAATAAATAACCAGCAATTAATTAAAATAACGTTTAAATAAAAAGGTATTGGCCTGGTGCCGAAAAACAGATAATGACGGCGCCAGGCGGACCTCTGGGGAGCACATTCCATAAGTGGGGCGCCACTGCAGAGAAGGCCCTCCTCCGGGTACACCCTCCTAATATCATTCACAGAGGGTTCCTGGAGAATGGCCTCTGCCGCCCGATCTCAAGGGGTGGGAGGGCAGATATGGACGCGGGCGCTCCTTTAGATAAGGTTCCCATTCAAGTAGTTTGCCTTGGGCCTCTTTTTTCCTAAAGTTGTAGTAAACATGTAAATTGTTCAAAACAATATTTTTAATTAAGCTTGACTGATATCCAAGAATGAAGAAAACAGTACTTTGTGGGAGTGACACAAGGAAGAATAATTATTCAGCTCATTTTTAAATAGCTACTTTAAATTGGGGTAAATAACAATCTCAGAAAGGTAGATTGAAATTATGTATGTGTGTGAGATATTCACACACATGTCATGGGGGTGTTGGTGGTTTGAATACAGAGGCACCCCTTTCTTAAAAGGAAGTGTTCCTTCTGTTCTCAGAAGAAATTTTGATCCTGGGAAGGTTCCAATTGACAAAAGGTGATTGAGGTGATTTTTTTAAAAATGCATCTAAATCCCTTTGTTTAGTTAGCACATTCTAGTTGTACTTTTTGGAATAAACAACCCCTTGAATTTGG